GGAGTCGTTTCTTTCTACTGTAGGTCCCCGGGTTCGCACAAACACTTTGACCCACTGAACCTTCTCACTGTCCTAGATGGTTTTGTTTCTAGCATTTACAGCTGATTCTTTTTCAAAATGGTTTTTAACTTCTCCTTGTTTGTTGTCAATTATTTCATCTCTTTGGAGTATTTCAAAGGTGTATATTATGCTCTGTGTCATTTACATACCCGCAAAACAGCCCAACATCCAAGTGCCCAAAACAATTACCCAGCACATGTCCTTGGCTGAGGTCAAGTTGATCCAAACCACCTCTGTGTCGGGGGAACCTCATCTAGGTACAGCAACCTGGCTAGTCATGTTCCTCTCCTGGAGAGCAGAAATCCTAGAGGACGCACAAAAGGCACACAGGCCACTCGGTGCGTTAGCTTAGAACTGGAGCGTGCCACACCCACCTTGTTTTGTCATCCAAACAGGCCACGGGGGCACCCCTCAGCCCCCCATATCTGAACTCCTCCCGGCTCTGCTCTTTGTTCTTCCTAATGTGTGGATACCTTCTTTTCGTAAACACAGATTCATATCCACACGGCCTTTGTCTCTGGCCTTCTGTGTGATGTAAGTGGAGAGAGTTTCCCTTTGAGAACATGTTTGCCTCCATCGGGTGTCTTGGGATGTTTCCATTTGGGGCAGCTTCATGTTGACTCTCAGGACAGGTTTCCTTGGCCACACCACACCCACTCCCCACATAGGTCACCTCCTCAGTCAGCTGATCATGCAACCTCAGGGGAACATGAGTTTTCTACATCATTGTAGCTCTCTCTCTCTCTCTCTCTCTCTCTCCTCTCTCTATCTATCTATCTATCTCTATGTGTGTCTGTGTCTGTCTGTCTCTCTGTCACTGTATCTCTTTCCCCTCTTGTGTGTGTGTGTGTGTGTGTGTGTGTGTGTGTGTGCAGGCCCTGTGTGTTCAGATGTGGAGGTCAGAGATCAACGTGAGGTGGCGTCTGTCATGCTCCACTTCATCTTTTTTTTTTTTTTTTTTTTTGGTTTTTCAAGACAGGGTTTCTCTGTGGCTTTGGAGGCTGTCCTGAAACTCGCTTGGTAGTCCAGGATGGTCTCGAACTCACAGAGATCCGCCTGCCTCTGCCTCCCGAGTGCTGGGATTAAAGGCGTGCGCCACCAACGCCCGGCTCCACTTCATCTTTTAAAGATTTATTATGTGTTTATTTTCAGTTCTTTGCACGCATGTATGTTTGTGTAGGGGCATATGTGCACATAAATGCAGTTTCCCTCTGAGGAGAGAAAAGGAACCTGGGAACTGCATTCTGGTCCTCTGCAAGAGAAGTACACGATTTCCACCACAGAGCCATCGCTCCAGTTTCTCTCCCTTCTTTTTTGAGACAGGTTCTCTTGCTGAACCCTCTGTAGTTTTTTTTTTCCTAAAAGAGAGACTGGGAGGGAGAGGGAAAACAAAAGTTGTTTAAATTAAGGTCTTAGGGATTGGAGAGATGGTTCAGCAGTTAAGAGCACTGGCTGCTTTTCTGGAGGACCCAGGTTCAATTCCCAGCAACCACATAGCTGCTCACAACCATCTGTAACTCCAGACCCAGGGAGATCCAACACCCATTTCTGGTCTCATGGGCATCAGGCGTGCTGGTAGTGTACACACATACATACAAAGACACCCCTATACATAAAATAGGCTTTATTAGATTAAGGTCTTAGTCAAGGAATTTTTTAACTTTCTGAAAACAACATTTTAGGAAAACAAACTTTCAGGAGCATTGTAAAGACCTGTGGCACACGTATGTGCACATATATATATATATATATATATATATATATATATATGCTTGTGTGTGTGTGTGTGTGTGTGTGTGTGTGTGTGTAGGCCAGAGGTAGACACTGGGCATATTTTTCGATCACTCTAAACCTTATATGTTGAGGCAAACCCAGAGTTCACAGTTTCAGCTAACCTAGCTAGGCAGCTTGCCTGAGAGACCCCATGTTGCCTCCTCCTAGAAAACACTGGGAACACTGGGAGTGTAGGTGGGCTACCGTACCTTCTGGTCTTTACTTTGGTGCTGAGGACCCAAACTCCAGTTCCCACACTTGTGAGGCAAATGCTTGCCCACTGAGCCACCTCCCAACCCTCAAGGCTATTTTTTCCCCTTTGGTCTTTGAATACCACAGAAGTTGCCTAAACAAGCACCAGGGATGTCCAGGGAGTTTGATCCTTCCTGGAATCCCATCCACTCTAGCCATTCATTACCTGTGACTTTAAACCAGAGAGCCTTGTGCTGTTTCCATTTCTTTCCGAGTTGGGGGGTCTCCGGCTACGTAGCCCAGGCTAGCCCTGAGTTTGCAATCTTCCCATCTCTGCTTCCTAAACAGTTGGGACTACCATGCTCGGCTCTGGCGGCTGTTCCCTCCATTCATTCTCTTCTCTTCCCTTCGTGTTTTGTTGAGGTTTGGGTAGTCTTGCTGACTGGCACGCACTGACAGGAATACTTCCTTTGTGGGATTCAGTGACTGTGACAACTGTGACGTGGTTTCCTAGATTTTTTTTTGAGACAGGATCTCATGGACCCTTAAGCTGGTTATGTAGAGAGGCTAACCTTGAACTCCTGATCCTCCCATGTGTGCCTCCTGAGTCGTCCCTGAGTATCACCAACACTCTCAGTGACCGCACTTTCTCATGCTGCATTTACATCCTTGCTCTTCCTGCGGCTCCCGCTTGCCTAGTGAAGCACACAGCACATCTGTAAGCTTCCTGCCTCTCCTGCAAGACGCTAGCTTAGTGACTACAGCCACTGCACAGACTGCCACTGCTAATAGTGGGGTCTCCCCAGAGTCCACTCCTTGTGACTATTTGGGGGTTCCATCTTGGTTTATTTGTCCTGGTTAGAGTTTGGGATTTTTGTTTCCGTTGTTTTGGCTTGTGGGTTTTTTAAAACTTTTATTTATTATGTATACAGTGTTCTGCTTGCATGTATGCCTGCACACCAGAAGAGGACTCCATCCAGATCTCATTACAGATGGTTGTGAGCCACCATGTGGTTGCTGGGAATTGAACTCAGGACCCCTGGAAGAGCAGCCAGTGCTCTTAACCTCTGAGCCATCTCTCCAGCCTGTTTTTATTGTTTCTTTGGTGGGGAGCTGTTGTTTGCTTGTTTGTTTGTCTGTTTGTACATGTCTGGTTTATTTACTTTAAGAAAGGGTCCCACTAGGTAGTCCTATCTGGCCAGAAACTCATAGAGGTCCACCTGCCTCTGTCTCTCAAGTGTAGGATTAGAGGTGTGTGCCACCATGCCTAGAAACGTTTTGGGTTTCAAGTATCCCAGGGGGGCTGGTCTCAAACTCGTTATATAACTGAGGGTGGATTTTAAATTCCTAATTCTCCTGCCCTCTACCTCCTAAGTGCCACGCACTGTTCATGTGGCGTTTGGGATGGGAACCCCGGGGCTTTGTGCATGTATGCTAGGCAAGCACTCTGCTAACTGAGCTGCACCCCTGACCCCCGAGGTTCCTTCTTGATTGTTGACGGCGTTCGCCTGCTTCACTGGGGCCTAGAAGTGGGAGGGTTCTTCTCTGTTCTCCTTCTCAGCCGGTGGACATCACCGCAAACTCCCGGAAGGCTATGTGAGCAAGACTAGGTGGGGACATGCACCCTGTGCAGCAGTCTACCCGAGGCCCTGGCTCCTCACGGCAGCCCACACGCGTGCACCCAGCACACTGTAGATCGAAGCACATTTGGGATTGGCCTTGCTGCACGGCCTCCCTTCCTGTGCGTACTCTGGCCTGGTCGCTCTTCCGCGGGAAGGGAAGGACTCGTGCCTAGAACCCTGTCCTTTTGAGCCTCTGTGTCCGTATCTTCCTTGTGATGCCGTGCGTGGCGGCTTCAAAGGTCCGAGCTGAGTCTGCAGGTGCACCTTCCTCCCGTTCTGCACGTCGTCCTCTCACTGGAGGCGTGACTGTGTGAGATCCAAGGCCCACCGGTGCCTCACCCCCGCCCCAACTCTGCTTTTGAGCCGGGCACACCCCTACAGGGCATCCAATGCTCAAGAAGGACCCTGGGCCCCTCCCCTTCATGTCTCATCTCCATTGCAGACCTGGGAAGTCAGCTTTTTTTTGGTCCCTGGAGCGCAGGTTGCCCCTTGAAAGGTGTCCCTCCATGGCGCCATCAGATTGGGGGCCGGAAGGGCGCGAGATCCCCACACTGGCATCATAAGCCAATCAGGCCCGGTTTGTAAACATCCTCGTGTGTAGAACAAACGGCCCTTCTATGCGGCCTCGCCCTAAGGGGCGCCCATTGTTGGTGCCTCCAGCCCCTTGTGCCCTGACTGTGCCAGCAGCCAAGGGGATGCATCCCTAGTCCCTCGTGCCCCACAGGTCTGTGTGTCTGACTGGTGGGGGTGGGGGAGCCTCAACACCTCAAACCAGGTCTGAAGACCAGCCAGACCTGACTTGCTCTTTCCCAAACCCCGCTCCAGGTCCTGAAGGTTTCCACGTGCAGCAGCTTCCCTCCGCACATGCGGTGGAAAGACAGGGAGGGTGGGCTTGAACCTTCAGCAGGCAGTGAGAGTAGTTGGTGGGTGAAGGTTGCCACTAGGGAGGGGTCCCCCAGACCTACAAAGACGTGATTTTCCTAAATTAGCCTATTAATTCCTGTGGTAAGGCTGCAAGAGAGGCCTTCTGTAGGTGCAGCCAGGGAAGACAGACAGAGCCTGGGCAGTAGCAGAAGTACGAGAAGATAGGAATAGCAAGACAGGGGGAACCCTCCCCCTAACCCACCCAAGCCTTAGAAGGAAGGAAGAGGAGGAGGAAGGGGACAGAAGAGAGGTTGACTAGACACCAAGTTCCATAGCTCCCACCCTGCCTCAGTTTCCTGGTAGCCAGAGCTCACTGTGTGGTGTGCACCAGAGCCCACAGCTGTACATAGACACACCAGCGCTGATAATAACCAGACCCCAAGGCTCCACGGTTACTGGAGGAGGCTGAGCACCGTGTTTCTCCCCCAGGGAAGCAGCTGCCCCTCTTAACTAGCCGACTACGCTTCTCCCAGGAAGAGAGGACGATTGTAAAACGAGGTAGCCTTTGCCTTCCCTGCCAGGCAGCCCTGAGGAGGTGGGCTTGGCATCTGGGCCTGCCATGGGGAGGGTCACCTAGATGGGCAGGGAGTAGAGGAGGGGACGGAGAAGATATTGGCAGGGACACCAATAGAATGACTGGGCACAGTTGGGTGCCACCAAGGAGGCCTGCCTGACTCCACCTTGACAGGGTAAGAATGGGGGGAGGAGGGTAGTACAATACCTTAGTGCTAGTGGGGCAGCAAGGTAAGAGGCCACCAGCAACCTCAGTCCTGAGGGTTCTGGGCCACAATAGGAGGGTCAGTGGAGTCAGAGAACTTAAAAGGGGGATCCCAAGTCACAGCTGTAGGTAAAATTCACACTTGGGGTCCAACTGGGGAGGTGTCCATGGAGGGTGGGGGAGAATGGAGGCCCACCCCCCATCTACCCTGCCCCTGTTATACCCTGCCACACCCACCCCAGCTTGTGCCTCACCAAGCCCTCCCAGGCCTGGACCCTCTCACCAAGGCCTGCCTGCGCAGTGTGCGCCCAAGCTTGTGGACCATCCCTTCTGACTCTCCACACCTCACACCCCTCCTTCTGCCCCTCCAGCCATCAAAGAGTCATCGCGTAAAAGTGACGTCTGTACCACCCCTGGCTGCGTGATGGCAGGTGAGCACCTCCCCTCGGGCGGCCAAAGTGCTGTCCGGGGCTGACTGAAGCCAAGATGAGCAGCCCTGTTAGGCTGAGGTTTGGATCCCACGTGTGCAGGCCTCCCACACAGGTTGGGTTGCAGAGACCCAAGAACTCTCAGCTAAGTTGATAGAAAGCAAAGTAAAAAAAAAAAAATCAAAGGATATCTTTTATATTTCTCATTTTCTCCCTCCGGGACTTTTGTCTTAAAATTGGGTGCCACAGACCTGCCCCCCTCTGCAGGAGGCAAAAACAAAGTTTTGTGGGGAAAGGTTGGAGCAGGAGTAAAAAGGCCTGGGGGAGGGAGACACGCGGAATACGCGTTTCCCTGTCTGAGGGTGTCCTGGATCCTCACCATGATGCTTTCCCTGAAGTCCCCAGCTGCAAGAGCCCCAAACCAGGGGCCTCAGCAGCAAAGTCAGCAGAGCCACTGAGCCCACGGATCAGGCCCCTGTCACCAGCATGCTCAAGATCTTAAGACACATCTGTCTCTTCATAAAAAAATAAATAAATAAACCTCAAGGCAATAGACAGGAGTGAGAGCCACTGGGACCGCATGGAGCAGAAGGGTTATCTATGCCAGAAGGCCAGAGGTCTGGTAGAAGGCAGGACCACCATCTGGGTCCTTCCTATGAACAGGAACTGTCTCCCAGTATCAGGTCCTCAGGAGGGAGAAGACAGGAAGGTTCAAGGTCCTGTAACTTGTAAGTGGCAGCCCTAGTCCTTGAAGCCACTTGGGCAATTCTTCCAGTGTTTCTAGCCTCCCTGTGACTCAGGGAGCCATGACTAACCCGCCCAAGAGCAAGTTAGTATCTGCCAGCAAGTTAACAGTTGAAATTAAATCTCCAGACAAACTGTCCCCAACGGGGCAACACTGTCTCTCAGACTCAGAGACAACATCAAGATGTCTACAACTCAGGGTCTCCTCCCCCTCCCTCCTCTCCCCACCCCCTCTGGATACACAGCTGCCAGAATCCTGCAGAACATGGACTCATCACATAAGCCCTGTGACAACTTCTACCAGTATGCTTGTGGAGGCTGGCTGCGGCGTCATGTGATCCCTGAGACCAACTCTCGATACAGTGTCTTTGACATTCTCCGGGATGAGCTGGAGGTTATCCTCAAAGGTGAAACCATCAGGGGGCATAGAGGTGTCGCTAAGACTTGGGTGGGTTCCTGCCAGACATCTACGCAGCTGGGTCAGTGGAGTTGGAGTGGGTTGTGACTGTGGTGTGTTTGTGCAGTCTGACAATGCTTGCCTGGGGCCAGAAGGGGCCAAGGGCTACAGTAGACATGGGTTGTTGACCTGGGGCTCCAGAAGTCAACTCAACCTCTATTAAGCTTTTTCCTCTGCCCACAGGGGTGTTGGAGGAATCCACTGTCAAGGACCGGCCGGCCGTGCAGAAGGCTAAGACACTGTACCGCTCCTGCATGAATGAAAGTGAGTAGAGGAGCCTGCTAGCCCAGGCAGCTCCAGCTCCACACCAGCACACTGAAGCACCATGGGCGGGCAGGCGTGGGGGAAGGGGGGATTGAGCGTTGTGCAAGACACATACAAAGTATCTCTGTGCTGTGCCTCCCCTGGTTCTTTGGGCTTTGTAATCCTAGCCTTGTCCAAAGGTAATGCTCCTGTCTGCTGAGCTCCAGGGCTGGGACCTGGGAATGTCCTAGAGGTCTGAGGTTGATTCCTGTGTACCAACAATGGGACTCAGCAGAACTGTGGTTTTATGAGACTGTCTCCATTGAAACCCCCATACGTGGGCGTGGCCAGGCACAGACAACTTTCTGGATTCTTACGTTTCTTGCCTGAAAGGCAGGATGACAGCAGCATGTAAACAGAACCCTGAGCCCCTTCCTTGGCTTTCAGCCCACTAGCCACAGTAGCAGCCCGGCAGCTGCACACAACACTGCGCCGTTTGACGCCAGCAGCCGGGACTTCATTTATGACCACCAGTTTCTCTAACTTTGTCCTACTTTCCAAATTAAGCCCAAACAGACAGAGAAGGCCAAATATGCCACGCCCAACCCCATGGCAAGCCTCCTCTTATCACATACTCACAGCATGCTGAGGCTGGTACCCTCAGACTCTTCATCAGACTCCTCCGGTGCCTCCCTTCCCACTGAACCATTCCCTGTGGCCCCTCAGCCCTGACCCAGGCTGTGACAGTGGACATCAGCCCCTTCTTGTTGCCAGCTCTGAAACACTGCCCTGTCATCTGAGGGTCCTCCTCCTCCTCTGTATCTATAGTGACTTTTGGATATGTCTTTAGCACATTGTCTCTGTCTGAAGTCCACCCAAGTTTCCTTTCAGAAAGCACTTCCTTAGAGGGACCCTGCTCTGGACCTTAGCCTCAGCCTTTAGACCGCCATCATGCTACAGAAGCAAGTCGCACGGGCCCTGTGTGTCCCTGCTCTTGCCCAAATATCTTCTGTCTCTGTGCCTCCCTTCTGGCCACCACTCCTTTCCTAGGCTTGTTCACCTGCTGCCAGCTACCAAATCCCCATCCATCCTCCTTGACCCCAGGGAACTGTGTGCTTCTCCAGCAACCCCTGAGCTAAAGCTGAGCTTGTGAAGCAGACGTGTTCTGGGCATGTGTGGTAGCACCTGAGCCACCATCCTCTCCTTCCCTTCTCAGGTGTGATAGAGAAGAGAGACTCTCAGCCCCTGCTGAACATCTTAGATATGATAGGAGGCTGGCCTGTGGCCATGGACAAGTGGACTGAGACTATTGGTAAGTACAGGCAAGTTTGCAGACTCCAGGGAGAGGCTACTCCACACCACCGCTGCCCACAGGCTAACTAACTGCTCTTAGGAAGCCCCAAGAGGCTCATTCCTCCCGAGGACAACCTCAGGTCCCCAAAGCTAGCTTAGGCTCCACACTGGGGAGCCAGTGGCATCTGTGATGAGTGTCCATCGTGGTGGCCCTGAGGTTCTGCACCGAAGCATCCCTCCTAGTATCTTAGACACCAGCCTTCATATCCCTGTTTAGGCCTCAGACCTTGGCCCACTCCAACTCAGGGGCAGGAATAGTGCATCTCCCATCCACACATGGTGATTCCCTCAGTCACTCTTTCCCCATGGACCTTAGAAGAATGGTCCCTCAGTCCCCAGAGTCTCACAGTGAGTTCGCTACCTGAGAAGGCAGGGCTCCCTACACCCCAGGAATGCTGTGCTTGGGAGGCAGTACCCTGTGTGTCTGGAGAGGGGCTGGCTGGTCACCATCGTGGGTACTGACTCCTCAGGCCCCAAGTGGGAGCTGGAACGGCAGCTGGCTGTGTTGAACTCGCAGTTCAACAGGCGCGTGCTCATCGACCTCTTCATCTGGAATGACGACCAGAACTCCAGCCGGCATGTCATCTATGTATGCAATACCCTCAGTGGGTAGTGTGGGGGAATCAGTGCTATCGGGGTCCCTGAGCTCTGGGCTTTTCAGCAGAGCGGGGAGACTGATGGGGTGGGTAGCTGGAGGCGTGGGGGGAGGAGGGGACATGTGAGCCCAGCATATGTGTTCTCTGTCCACGGCTTAGTCTGCAATGTGAGTTGTGCTGATCAGGGCTCCCATGGGACCTCGTGGCCCCTGCTACGTTCTGCAGGCCGGCTGTGTGCTTAGCCTGCTTCTTACCCGTAGCGAGGTCTTTAAAAGGCACCTGGGCAAGGAGGCCTCCAGGAGCCATAGCTGGAGGGTGAGAGAAGCACACACAGACGTCACTTTGGGCAGGCTGTGATGGGAGTCCCTCCTGTGGGGACTTGTGCCCCCCACCCAGCCCATCTCTGTCACGGAAAAGGCTTGGGTTCGGAAGCATTTGCTTTCCACGGGCAGCCGGTGTTCTACCAGACATAATCCTGGGGGAAGGGAACAGCTGCCTGCCCTCAGCCGGGCTGCAGGGATTCCCTGCTGCCGGCTAGGAGTCACATCCTCTGTGTTTCCAGATAGACCAGCCCACCTTGGGCATGCCATCCCGGGAGTACTATTTCAACAACGGCAATAACCGCAAGGTAAGCAAGGAACCTCAAGACCCGTGTCAGACGCAGCTCCCTTCACATGGCCTGCCTCCCCCCACCCCAACCGGGGCTCGGCATTCCTGTCTGTCCACTACCTGTGTGCGCCCTGCCGCCAGCCTTGTAAGCACCCAGTGGGGTTGCGGCAAGGCACTGAGCACTTGGGGACACAAAGGTGGACACCCGGTTCTCACACTGTGTCAGCCCTGAGGTGAGTGAGCTTGTCTGGACAGGCAGTCTTTTCAGCTTGACCCACCCATGCCTGAGCCTGCTCTGCGGAGTCCGCTCCTGCATCTGTGAGAGAATTCAGCTGTGGAGTAGCCCAGGATGGCCAGGGTAGAAGAAAAAGAGTTGGGGTGAACAGAAAGGAGGCGGGGTAGGAAAAGGGCTGGGAGGCAGGAGTGACCCTCACGGCAAGGCTGGAAGTACCAGTGTGCCCTGAGCTGCCTGATATTCAACAGATGGATGGGTGGAACCAGAAGAAAGGATGGCAGAGGAATACAGAAAATTAGAACCTAGGGCATCCCAAAAACTCACATGCGTGACCCCCAGCCCACTCTAGCAACTAGTAGAAGTAGCAGGGCTAGTCACCAATGGATGGGGGCAGTCTGCAGCCTCAGCCAGAGTGAGGAAAGCCCCTCCAAGAACAGGCATGAGGAAGGATGCCCAACTGAATGGGACAAACATCTTGAAGAATCAGTCTCCCACCCTATGGCCGAATCATGGCTGGGGCAGTCTGACCTCCCCCTGGCACCAATGGCCGAAGAGTTACTAAGCACCTGCGGAGGCCAACTTGGCACTGTGCAGCCCCTAAAGAAACCTACCCACAGAGACCTAAGCATGGGTCGGTCATTCTGCAAAAAAAAGGAGTTGGGACCAGAGCTTGGTCCTGAGCTGTCTGGCAATGGCCAGGGCACCGTGACTCCACACCAAGTTTAGGGAGTAGGACCCAGACCACAGAACACAAAGACCATCATCGTGCAGGCTTGTCCCTGGAGTGGGATCAAGATGGCAGTGACAGCTGGGTGTGATGTGGACAAGTCTCCGTGCTCCATTCTGCGCTGCCCGTGCCAGACACTGTTGGGGAGGAGGCTAGATAGGGGCAAGCTTCCAGGGGCCACTCCATGTCACACACCACCCCCAACCCCACAGAGTGCTCCATGGTGGCCAAGGTGGCCAAAGCCTCCCAGCTCCATCCATCGTCCTTTGGCCCAGGTGCGGGAAGCCTACCTGCAGTTCATGACGTCTGTGGCCACCATGCTGAGGAAAGACCTGAACCTACCCAAGGACAACAGCCTGGTGGAGAAGGAGATGACTTTGGTGCTGGAGCTGGAGGCGCATCTGGCCAACGTGAGGCAGGGCCGCCCTGGGAGGCTCGGGCTAGGTGCCGAGTGACACACCACCGTGTGACCCCCCCTTGGTCCCCACACAGGCCACAGTCCCTCAGGAGGACAGGCATGACGTCACCGCCCTGTACCACAGGATGGACCTGGCAGAGCTGCAGGACAGGTTTAGTCTGAAGGTGAGACCCAGGAACCCACCCAGGAAGTAGCAGGGGCCCAGCCCCAACCCAACTGGAGTAGCACTTACTCCACACACAGCTACTCCTGCGTTAAAGGGGCCACATGGTTAAAGGGGGCGCCTAGACTGATAATGCCTTTAAATGAGCACGTGAAAATAAAAATTCCAGGGGGGGGGCATCCATTGTTGCCCTGGGACACACGGGCCTCCCCTACAGCGCTGCTAACAAAAGGTCATGTCAGAGAGAGGCCACGGGTGGGACAGAACTCAGGTCAGAAGTAGGTGACTGAGCCTTCGGCCCCTTCTTCCTGACCCATATAAATAAGCACTTGAATCCATAGCCGTACACAAGGGTAAGACATGTGAACCATGGGAGAACCCTGGCTTCAGCTCGTGTTTCACATGCCATGTCCCTAGATTAGAAGGTCCTGGATGGAAATATTGCTCAGCAACTAAGAACCTGCACTTTGAGAGGACCAGAGAGTTCAGTTCCCAGCACCCATATCGGGCAGTTCACAATCACCCATAAACCCCAGCTCCAGGGATCCAGTGCTCTCTTCTGACTTCGATGGGCACCCACAGACACACACATCACACACACATAAGAAAAATTAAAATAAATCTTTTAATTAAACCATGAGTTCAAGCCTGGCATGGCGGTGTACGCCTTGAATCCCAAGCACTTGGGAGTCAGAGGCAGGCAGATCTCTTAAGTTTGAGGCCAACCTGGTCTCCAGAGCGAGTTCTAGGACCACCAGGCCTACACAGAGAGACCCAGTCTTGAAAACACACACACACACAGAATAAGTTCAAGAGCATTCTCAGCTGTGTGTAAGTTGTTCAAGGCCAGCCTGATTAGAGACCCTGTCTCAAAACATTTTTTTCAAAGTAATTAAAATACACCATTAAGCTCAGCAGTGTGGACTATTTACTGAGAACAAAAATTACTACGGGACTAGTAGAGTTTAGTGGTAGAGCATCACCTTTGCATGCATGAGACTTATGTTCAATTCTCAGCATTAATGCTAAAAAAGTTACATTAAATAAATAACTACCCAGCTTATGTAACTTGTAAGGCTACCATGTTTCCTTCTTTGATCGTTTTTTGCTAAATCGTGTTTGTCCAGTAATTTCCCCCAACTACATGTAATTTTCAAATATTCTGCATAGACTCTTAGTAATTTCATAGGCTCTGGGGAAATGACACCCTTTGTCCTGATTCTTATTAGCAGTGCTTTCTCACCTGCTCCTCAAATGCTCTTTAGTGGGAGCTGAGTCTCTTAGGTGCACAAGGATCACCTACCTCTCTCTCTTCCTCCACACCCCTCTCTCTACAGGGGTTTAACTGGACCCTCTTCATACAAAGTGTGCTGTCCTCTGTCCAAGTCAATCTGTTACCAGATGAGGAGGTGGTGGTCTATGGCATCCCCTACCTGCAGAACCTTGAGGATATCATTGACATCTACTCAGCACGGTGAGGTTGGGGGACGTTTCCACTGCAACTGTGTCCCTGCCCCACAACACGCACACACACACACACACACACACACACACACACACACACACACACACACACACGAGTTCCTGCTTTTGAGGAGGAGGATGCCAGGTATAAGGCACACAGAGGGTTCAGTTTTGGTGTCCCTGGTACCTCACCCTAATGATATGAGGGATAAACGAGCTAATTCTTAGAGAATCTAGAACCTTCCTTGGTCTAGAACCTGCTTGGTCTAGAACCCTGCTTGGTCTAGAACCTGCTGGCTAACCTGTGTCTCCTATCCTTGGCAGGCAGCCACTCACTTGTCCCATTTCACCTCTGCTTCCTCTAGGACCATACAGAACTACCTGGTCTGGCGCCTGGTGTTAGATCGCATCAGCAGCCTGAGCCGGAGATTCAAAGATGCACGGGTGAACTACCGCAAGGTGAGTGCATCATTCATTCATCTCATGCATTGTCGTCACTGAGGTCTGCGACAAGAACCTGGCAGACAAGGTCCCTGCCCTCTTGGGACAGTCAGCAGTCAGAAGCCAACAATGCAGAAGCCTGGGCTGTTGGAAACCAAGTGTGACCAGAGGAGGGACCAGGCAGGGTAGGGAATTGCTTGATAGAGGTCACTTTGGCTTTCAAGACATAAAGAGACTAGGGTAAGCTTTGGGTAGTGTCCAGGCAGACCACCAGGTCCAGGGGGTGAGGGACAGGGTCTGAGTGGGACCCTAGCTTTCCCAGAGTAATGGCAAGTCTCCTCAAAACAACACAGTGGCCTTTGCATGCCCACAGCCAGCATCCTGTGTCACCTGAGTCATCCTGTGTCACCCTCTGGGTACCCTGAAGCTGGTGGTGGGAGGAGCTGCCTGTCTTACAAGCTCAGGGCCCCATACATGACCTGGGAAAGTTAAGCATTGGTACATGGGACACGAGTGAGTGAGTGAGTGAGTGAATGAGTGAGTGAGTGTGTAAATAAACACACCAGGCGCTGTACGGCACAACCGTGGAGGAGGTGCGCTGGCGGGAGTGTGTCAGCTATGTCAACAGCAACATGGAGAGCGCCGTGGGCTCCCTCTACATCAAGGAGGCCTTCTCCAAGGACAGCAAGGAAATGGTGTGTAAACTTGACTTCAAAGGGGGCACTGTCCGCTTCTGCTCTCAAGCTCACCCTGGGACAGCCTCCTGGCAAGGATACCGGCCCCATCACTATCACCCCACCCATTTGTGGCCAGTTCAACTCCTTATTCTCTCCCCCAACTCAGTGACTCCTAGAGGGACATGCATTAATATCAGTGCCCACCAGAGCAAAGGAAGCCTTGACCCCAGGTGCCTCTGACCACGAGCTCCAGTCCTGGACCCTGTTAGACCCCTGGGAAAGGCGCAGGCTGCATTATGAGTTCTGAGCCCAGGGCAAGCCAGCCTCCAATCCACCTGTGAGGCTCCAACTCTGAGCCAGAATAGTCACCCCACATCAATGCCACACCCCCTCCCAGAAAGTCAGGGCCCAGGGCAGCACTGGCCTCATCCTAAAGGTGTCCTAGACCAAAGCTGGAGTGCGGTGATGACCCCTAGGCCTGCCTAGGACATGAGGATATGCGTTCCCCCAGGTCAAAGAGCTGATTGACAAGGTAAGATCCGTGTTTGTGGATACCCTGGATGAGCTGAACTGGATGGATGACGAATCTAAGAAGAAGGCCCAGGACAAGGTGGGCGAGCTAACGACCTGTGTGGAAACCCCCACCCCCGAGGGGAGTTCCTGTGGTCAGGGCCCCCTGCTGGAGAGACAGTCCTGGTTGGGGAGGGGGACTGAGTAGGTGTCGTGCGTGGGAAATCCCCCAGGAAACAGAAGAAGACTCCGTGGTCTGAGGCTAGGACCTATCCAACCTCCTCTAGGCCCGGTGACAAACCATAGGCACCCATTCAGGAACCCCCCCCCCACCTATGTGTCTGGTTCTGCAAGCCAATGGAGGGGACATGTTTGTCACCCCCTTACCCACACAGCAGGGCACAGAGCTAGCGGGGAGGACTAGGGACCTCCCATGGTGGGTGACCCTAGCTGCCCCTCCTCTGTCCAGGCCATGAACATCCGGGAACAGATCGGCTACCCTGACTACATCTTGGAAGAGCACAATAGGCACCTGGATGAGGAATACTCCGCTGTGCGTACCCCTTGGGCGCTCTGCCCGGCCCCTGCCCTGAACCACCCCTGGGGATGGGCACTCTGCGTCAGGCATCCTTCTGTTCTCTTAGTAGTTCACTCGGTCGCACCTCCACACCCTGGAGTGGGCTCTGATCTCACTCTGCTAACGGATAGAGGAGCAGAGGCCCAGAGAAACTAAACTTTCTGGGGGTCACATAAATGCTCAGAGCCCACTTACCGGCTTCCAGAAGCCCGAGGGGCCACATGCTAGCTGACGTGTAGGTCTTGAGACCCTTCCTCAACCCTCAGCCTCCCTCTCCCTCCCCCAACACTCCCGGGGACTCAGCCTGAGTGCCAGTCACGCCAAGCTTTTCTCTTCTCATAGCTGACATTCTCAGAGGATCTGTATTTCGAGAATGGGCTCCAGAACCTCAAAGCCAGCGCCCAGAGGAGCCTCAAGAAGCTTCGGGAAAGGGTGGACCAGAACCTGTGAGTGGAGTGGCTACAAGGCTAGCCTGGCATGCCGAGCTTGCCTACTGGCTAGGGGTGGCTACATGAGTCTGGCCAGATGCCAGCTAAAGAGGACACTGGACCTGAGCCGCCCCCACCTCAGCACCCTTTGCTTTGGGCTGGGGAGGGGTGGGGGTCTCAGAGAGGAACCAGACCTTGGGATTGGCTTAGGACACTGCACTAGCTGGCCACCACGCCATGAACCTCTTCAGGGCAGGATCTGGTCAGCCAGGGCAAAGGGACCACAGGGAGGGGTCCTGGTAGACGTGGACTCCAAATGACCAGTGTATTTACCACACAGCTGGATCATCGGGGCTGCAGTGGTCAATGCCTTCTACTCCCCAAACAGAAACCAGATCGGTAAGCCCGCCTTGCCAATCTGGTGCCAGAGAGGAGCACCCCCCCACCCTTGCTCAGGAAACCCCCAGCCTAATCTCAGAAAGGAGAGTGGGCTCCAGTCTCTTAAACGTTGCCCCATGACCCACCTCAAGGGTCGTAGGTTGGAAGGGACACAGAGGGACCATTAGAGAGCGTGTTTTTGAGAAGGCAGCAGTGGGTGGGAAGAAAGCGGGCGTGGGTCCTCAATCTAGCAACTCTTGTCTTGGTGTCTGAGCTCAGTTTTTCTTGATCTGTACGTTGGGCAGGGAGTCCTAACCTCCACTTGCTAAACCTCAGCATTAGATGACAGGCCGGCCCGGTAGAGGTGCCCCGCCTGAGCCGGGCACACAGAAGTAACCACTCATAGCTCCTCTTTGTCACCCTTTCGGGCACAGTGTTTCCTGCCGGTATTCTCCAGCCACCCTTCTTCAGCAAGAACCAGCCACAGGCTCTGAACTTTGGGGGCATCGGGATGGTGATCGGGCACGAGATCACACACGGCTTTGATGACAATGGTAAAGGGGCGTATGGGAGTGTCCCAAGCACAGATACACCTGTAAATCACACACACACACACACACACACACACACACACACACACACACTTTCCCTCTCTCCGTCTCTCTCCCTCTCCCCTCTCTCTCTCTCCCTCTCTCTCCCCCTCTCTCTCTCCCTCTCTCCCTCCCTCCCTCCCTCCCTCCTTCCCTCTCCCTTCCTCCCTCCCTCCCTCCCTCCCTCCTTCCCTCTCTCTCTCTCTCTCTCTCTCTCTCCCATCCCATTCCCATTCCCATTCCCATCTCTACTGAGCAGTCAGGGAGCATCCATTCAGTCTCTCAATTAGGTTAGTTAGACACGGGGGCCTTGCCTTGATCTCCATCTCTGGAGGGGCTGCCCCTGCTTGACTCTTAGGGCCTGACACCATCTATGATGTCTCAGTTGATTTTTTTTCCCCTATGTGGCTCAGCCGGAGGGGTCCTATAGGGGTTAGCCATGTACCACCCCCCCCCTGCCCGCCCGACACCGGCACCTGGGTTTAGATCAGCTGGATTTGAGAGTCCTGGTCCTAACTTGAGGGGCAAGGATGGGGTGGCCTGGAAGCCCTCCTGAGCAGCCCTCAACATGGTGCTGTTGTGCGTGCTTGGAACCCCTGAACTGTAGCTGCCGGAGGAAGGATGTGCCTAAGCATCCCAGCGCTGAACTGGACTTTCTAGAGGGGTTGCAGGAGGGCAGTGAAGGCAGGGTCTGGGGTGGGACGGTGTGCACACGTGCCCTGCTGCCCCCTCCCCCACCCAGGCCGGAACTTTGACAAGAACGGCAACATGCTGGACTGGTGGAGTAACTTCTCGGCCCAGCACTTCCGAGAGCAGTCGGAGTGCATGATCTATCAGTACGGCAACTTTTCTTGGGACCTGGCCGACGACCAGAATGTAAGCGTGTCACCAGTACTGCAGGGGCCCTGCACTTTCACCCAGCCCCGTGGGGCAAGAGAGGACTGATGCCAGGCTGCCCCCCCCCGTCCTGTCTCCTTTTTGTGCAGGTGAACGGATTCAGCACCCTAGGGGAGAACATCGCCGACAACGGTGGGGTGCGGCAGGCGTACAAGGTGGGCCCTAGCAGAGCCCTCGGAGGGGATTGGGGTAGTCTCGGCATGGCAGGGCAATGCCCAAACTAGAGCCGTGTCCTAAAGAAAGCCCTCCATTTGGGTTGGGGAGGAAGCAGAGATCCAAATCCTGAGGTTGTATGCCTTATATCTCACCCATCTCCCGTGTAAGCCAGTGTGGGAACCAATTTTGTCTCCTAGTAAGTATACAGGGTAGAGACAACGTGGCCGTGGGCCTCAGCAGCTCACATCTGCGGCCTTGGGACTAGAGCACCGGATACCAGGAGCCCATATGGGTGGACTTGAGGCGGCAGCTATATGGCCAAGGGTCCCACAGGGCTCTGTTGGATAGGCCATTAGAAGACTGCAGAAGATTTAGCTGGCTTGTACACAGCAGCCCTACGCTGGGGAGGCAGGACCCACCTAGGGAAGGTCCTGGTACCAGATCATTGTGCGTGAGGCTCTCTGGGGGCCCGGCTGGACTGAGCCCCAGTTTGGTGCTTGCAGGCTTACCTACAGTGGCTGGCTGAAGGCGGCAAGGACCAGCGACTGCCGGGACTGAACCTGACATATGCCCAGCTATTCTTCATCAACTACGCCCAGGTAACCCCTAGTCCTGGCCCCCACTCTCACAGCTTTGGAGGGCCCCAGGATCGGGTACATCCAAGGGTACCATGAGCTTGTCCCACCCCCAAACCAGAACCAGTGGGCCTGGCAGGCTTCCTAGAAAAAAGACTGAAGCTGGTGATTGGGAGCCAGCTGAGGGAGGGGGGAGCGGCGGACGTGGAAGGAAAGATCTGTTGGCCTCTCTTCTGTAGAGGGCTTTGCTCCGGCCCTCAGGCCAGTAACCAAGCCACTCATGCACACTCTAGGTGTGGTGTGGCTCCTACAGACCTGAGTTCGCCGTCCAGTCCATCAAGACTGACGTCCACAGCCCTCTTAAGTACAGGCAAGTGTGCGGTCCCCCAGCAAGCATGCCCGCCCGCCCCTGCCCTGTCCTCTCCCCACATCTCAGACCTCCTTGGACTTGCTGGTCCACAGGGTACTGGGCTCGCTACAGAACCTGGCCGCCTTCTCCGAGGCGTTCCGCTGCCCCAGGGGCAGCCCCATGCACCCCAAGAGGCGATGTCGCATCTGGTAGCCAAGGCTGAGCTATGCTGCGGCCCACCCGCCACCCAGAGGCTTCGCGAAAGGTGCCTGTTGGCGGAGATGTGCAAGTCCTTGCCTGAAGGCCACCCGAGGCACCAGCCAGCCTTCCGCACCTGGCCTAGAGTGCAGCCGCCCGCCCGCCTGCCCGCCTGCCCGCCCGCCCGCCCGCCCGCCTGCCCACACCTGGGATGAGTGGTGCCTGGTCCCGTGCCCCTTCAGGCCAGTGAGGGTCAGCAGCCCTGTAGGAGCTGTCAGCTGTCTTCCACCCTTGTCCATAGTGCGTGGCTAAATGTCCTCGAGCTTCAGACTTGAGCTAAGTAAACGCTTCAGAGAAGGCCTTGCATTTGCTCATGTAGCGGCCAGGTGGGTGGTCGCTGGGTTAGCTGTGGCCAAGGGGAGAATAATACCAGCCTCCCAGAATCCTGGTGCTAAGAACCCTGAAGAGACCGAGGTGTACCTAGAGACCACCCTCTGGGTGTGACTGTTCAGTTGACTGGGCTTCCAGGACGGGACCTGACCTATATCCTGGTGACTCACGTCAGCACTTGGCAGAGGGACCTCAAGACATAGGGAGCAACAGGCGAACTCTGGAAGCCAGAGATGGTCTAGATTACAAACGGGACATTGCCTGCTGTTTACAGATGGTCCCTGCATAGAGGGAAGACATCCAGGTGGACACTGTGGTCACCCTGGCTTGGTCTTGGAAAGTGCTAAGCTGGTTACCAGAGCCCACCTGGAGGGAAGATCCCTTGAGAAAGGGAGGCCTGAAATGGTAGGGTGTCTGGAGTTACTCAGACCCTAGGACCTTGGGAAAACAGGCATGCTCAGCCAGACCCTGGCTTCTCCCAGGACAGCACCTGGAAAGGAAAGGGTTTCCGGCTCTAGAACCGGTTCCACGGTCCTCGTCTGCCACCTCTTCCCTGAGCCCAATTAGCCTCCAGCCTCTACCACAGACACAAGCAGACGCCTGCCCTCTCCATTCCCCACAACTGGAGTCCCCTGGAGAGCTGGGGCCAGGGTCCCACCAACCCTCCTCTCCGCATCCTCCAATGAAGTGAGCTACTGTGTTAGGCATCATTGGAAGGGAGTGACACTGTTGTCCCCAGGGTCCCCATAACCAAAGCCCAAAGTCTGTCCTCGGGGAAGATTACACTTTAGCATCCCTCCTGCCTGGAGGGACCAGCAGTGTGGCAGGAACTGCAGAGCAGAGGATGCAAAGTGTGGAAGCAATGAAGACGCTCACTGCCCAGGACCTACACTTTAATGGCTCACTGCTGTCCCAGCGGCTCCACGGTGATTCTTTCCACTCCAAAGACATTCAAGGCTGCAGACGCCTCCAAGTCCTCGGGGGCCAGGCATCACCGCCCACACACCTCTTCATCACACTGTAGGAGCAACAGGGGTTCTAGAGTCAGCCTGGCCACACCCCTCAGAGGCCAGGATGCATGGATAGATGGATGCATGGATGCATGGATGGATGCATGGATGGATATAGGTAGATATAGAATTTGGGGCTGGGTGACAAGCAGTATCCCCAAGGCCTCTACTCACCTGTGGTGGCTTGCTGGAACAAACCTCTGCAGAGATACCCAAGGACTGCAAGATGTTCTCCTGGGGAACATAGTCACCTGGGGACTTCTGGATGAAGTGCAGAAGCACTTTGTCACCACCTGTAGCCGTAGGCAAGCAACCAAGTTGCTTGTATCTTACATGTGCCAGGAAGAGAGAGGGCAATCTACTAACCAAGCCAAGCAGTCCAACCCCCCTACCCAGGTACCCAGTATGGGGAGGGGGCTGTGAGGACATGGACCACTAAGACGGACAAGATGGAGCCCTATGCCCTGCCCTGACCCACCCTTGCTGACCACCAGTAGTCCTCCACTCTGCAGTAGGTCACCAGACAGGTTCCCCTGGATGCCAACAGCCTTAGCCTAGAAAGACAGGAGCAGGACCCACGTCAGTCCTACAGGGAAGTTCCCAGGGAATCCCACCATGCTCTAACGTTATATGATCTTGGCCATCACAAACCTTGGAGGCAACATCACGCACAGGTTTTCCCAGGGCAGCTGGTAGGATGCTTAAGCTGTTGTACCTACAAAGACAAGGGGGCCCTAGCCCAGATTCTATAGGAGTACAAGCACCCACACCTGCTCCCAGTGTCCTGCCCCACCCAGACCAGCAACCAGCCTAACCGGGAGCATCTACAGAAGCACAGGGAGCCCCGGGCTGAACACTGCCGGCCTGAGGGCCCCAGAGACATGGTGGAATATGGGGACTGAGCTCCAAACTGGGCGTGCCCAGGGATCTGTCTCAGCTGGCACTGCCCATCCCCATCATGACAGCCTGTGGCAACAGAGGACTGAAATGGGCCACGATTAAGTCATGGGCTCCCAGGTTCCTCCTGTTTATGAAACTGCAGACTGCTGAGGGTAGGCGGGGCTTGGACCCCCAAAAGAAGGGCTAGTTAAAGCTGCCCATGCCACCAGAGTCAGTTCCCACAGGACAAACTGAACAGCGGGGCAGAGAGGGTGGTAGCAAGAAGATGCATAACAGAGCAGTGGCCACTCTGCCCTCCCACTCCTGGCTAGTCCCATGCTCCCACGGAGTCTCACTTACCGCTTGAAGCCCAGCTCCTTATAGAACTGTTTGCTCTCATCGAGATAGAGTTCTAAAAGGGAAAGCCACAGGTATGTGCCCCAGGCTGCCTACAGTCTGTCATATGTCCGCTTCACTTAGGGTGCCCAGCTCAACCCAACCAAGCCAAGTGGAGCGAAGTGGGATTGAATGTCAGCACTGCTTGAATAAATGATCAGGCAAGTCACTGGGACTTTGCCACCAGGTCTAGGCGCCAGCCAGTGCACAGGCTGGGAGACAGGGCAGGGGAAGGCTGAAGGTGCTGACACATGAATATGTTCCTGCTGGGCCTGGAAAGGGATGGCCCCGGCTTGGCAGAGAGGCCAAGCCAAGGTTCGGAGTCCGGGAAGAGTCCGCACCTCCTGAGAAGTAGCCACCATCCAGGAACTCCTGCAGGCCCAGGGCCTCAGGCCCCACGCCTATCAGGCGCACATCTTGCTGGTCCAGGACGCCCCGGAGGTTGCTGAGGTCCTTGGCTATCCAACGGCACACCAGGCAGCCGAAGCGTCGCAGACCGGCCACCACACAAGCTTTATCCTGCCAAAGGCTCCGCAGCTCCACGGCCTGCAGAATGGAGCTGTCAGGGGGCGGGGGCTCATCATCTCCCTAGGTCCTGCAGCCCCGCATGCCCCGCAGTGTGCTGCTCTATGATTCGCAGCCCCATCGGCGGTCCTGCTGTGAGCCACCAGCTGTACCCACGCCCAACATGAGAACCCATGGGGACCCCTCAGGACTTCCACTCCGGCCCATGTGAATTGGCAGGGCACCGGGGTAGGTGCGCCGGCCAGGCCTCACCTCCCCGGTCACTGCATGTTTCAAGACACACGCGCCCACGCGACTAAGGTCCACCGCACTCATGGCTTCCTCGGTCCCCTTCTGTTCCGGGCCCCGGGAAATCTCACTCAGTAATACTCAGCTTCTTCTCCCAGTCGGAGAGAACTGAATTATCTCCTGGGGGACCGGACCGCCGAGCCACACCCTTGTCCCGCCCCAGACTCCGCCCCGGGTATCCCAGCACATACCGCACAGTCTCCCCGCCCTCCCCTGAAGATCCATCCACCTAAATGGAGGAGCTGGGTTGCCTTATTTGCATATGCATAAGCCCGTTGGCCAATAGCGTAGCAGGCGAAGCTCGACAGCCTTCTGCAAGCGGTGCGCCTGCGCAGGATGCATTTGCGCGGTTCTCTGGTTGCGTCAGGTGGCTCCCCCAAGTGCTGCAGGCAGTGGCATTGGAGACAAGATTCGAAGCAAAGACCCCTGACCCCTGCACCCCAGCTGTGTTTGTGTCAGCTTTTAAAACATGCACACGAGAGTAAAACAACCTGAAGGATATAAGCTCACAGCAATGTGCCTCTTGAAAGAGTAGAGGACGGGGGAATCTGCTTGTCCTGACCGTTCCTCACTAAACTGCTTTCAAGTTCAGGCCCTGCTTTGTGGTGATATACTCCGGCTTTTTATTATCTAGACCAATTAAGAACGCCGTTTACATCGCTTGACTGGACTTGGGTAACACGGGAAGCCTTGACCAATCAGGCAGTAGGTCTTTTGCCCCTGGAACTGGCCCCATCCCCAGGCCCACAGACAGATGCTGAGTCTGCGAAAGGAAGAGAGTCACCATAGTCACCGAAAGTGGTGAGGCTGAGGCTGGAGGTCCAGGAAGAAAGGCAGGAACCATGTCACTGTGTCAAAAGGAGTAGGGGTGAGGGACCCGGGAGATGGCTCCGCAGTTATTAAGAGCACTAGCTGCTCTTCCAGAGGACCGGGGGTTTGGTCACCAGCATCTACGCAGCGCCTCACAACCCTTAGTAAGGCCAGTTCTAGGGCATTTGATACCCTCCTACGGCCTCTTCAGGCACCAGGCATGCACGTAGAGCACTGGAAGGACCAAACCCTCACCCAGCCCCTGCATTGGCAGCGTGACAGGCTGCAGAAAAGACCCAGGCTCCCCTAGCCTGGAGGTGCACCAATCCTGAGACTGTTGCTATACCCCAGATACTCCCTGAAAGGTTCAGGCATTGTGCTAGCCTGCCCTGTTACCTGGCAGGATGCACTCAGGCAACACTCTGGCCAGCCCAGAATTCCGTGAGAACCACGCAGGTGCAAAGGACCTCTCACCCCCCCCCCTTTTCCCTCCTCCACGTGGGATCGTTGAGTCACGGTTTGTGTCTCCTTACTGGATAAACCTAAACATTTTAACAACACTCCCCACAACTGCTTAGGGTCCCTCCTACTCTACCCACTGTGTCGGACAGACAGAGGACCCAAGTTAACTCATAAGTTAAAAAAAAAACTAATTTTTTTATCGGATCTGGTCTCTTGATGTTTGGGTTCAGAGTCTGGGCACAACACACTGACATGTATGCAGGCAAAGCATTCAAGCCCAAGAGCAGGGCTGAGGAGATGACTCAGCAAAGCGTCAGGCATCTGTAGCCCTAATGCTGGGCAAGCAAAGACATGAGTGCCCCCCCCCAGGCTCACTGGCCATCCAGTCTAGCTGAATCACTGAGCTCTGTGTTCAGTAATAGACCTTGTCTCAAGAAATAAGACGCAGAAGGACTGTGGAAGACACTCAGATGAACCCCTGGCCTTTGCCGGCACATGCCGGCACACGAAAACACCTACAAAAATACCTACAAAAGGGAAAGAAAATGTAAAAAGCCGAGCCCAGAGGAGGAGCTGGTCTGTAAAGAATGGTCACTG